CTTAAACTGTTATGGTGTAGGCAAGTACAATTGTTACAGTGGTATGCTGTGACACTGTTATAATGTAAGAGTGCTTAAACTGTTATGGTGTAGGCAAGTACAATTGTTACAGTGGTATGCTGTGACACTGTTATAATGTAAGAGTGCTTAAACTGTTATGGTGTAGGCAAGTACAATTGTTACAGTGGTATGCTGTGACACTGTTATAATGTAAGAGTGCTTAAACTGTTAGTGTGTAGGCAAGTACAATTGTTACAGTGTGGCCAGTGACAATGTTTTAATGTAAGAGTGCTGAAACTTGAAGTATAGGTAAATTAAAGTAAAATTTTAGTGGATTTATTTCCCTCTTAACCCTTTGTTGTTGCTTTCAAATGTCAGTTTAACTTTGTTCATACAAGTACTTAGTGTTTACATGCAACAAAATAGTATCCATACAAGTACTTAGTGTTCATACATGCAACAAAATAGTGCCCATACAAGTACTTAGTATTCATACATGCAACAAAATAGTACTCATACAAGTACTTGGTGTTCATACATGCAACAAATAGTGCCCATACAAGTACTTCAACTCTGTTATAACATAATTGGATCTTCATGTACAATATAATGCATTCTATAAATTCAATTATAACATGATTTAATCGAAAAGTCCAAGAATTTTAGCCTTCAAGCATATAAAAACACATTTCTTGTTTACGTCATCCATCATATTATCAAATTTTAAGGAGTAAAATAATAGCCAAAATTTGTGTTGGTCTTAAAAGAAATAAATCAAGTGAACTACTTTTTATTGTTTTTTCTTTTTTTGTAAAAAGAATGTTACGTATTAGAATTTCAAATGATCTGAAATTGAGTTAATTGATAAATTTAAATTTAGTGGTTAAATTGTACTTTGGATTTAGTATTTAAATAAATGCCGATACATAGTCAGTTTTGAGATTTGCCAACAAGATTGATACACACCGTTTTCGTTTTTAACACAAATTCGTTTTAATATACACACAACGATATAATTTACAATAATAATTATTACATACAATGGTTTATAAACAAAAGTTTCACAAACTTACGAGCAATTCTTTTTAGTTTGGAAATTCATTGATATCTTATGGAGGGGTTCACGATGAGCGAGTTGATTACGAGTTGATATAGGTACAATTCACTTAGTAGGAAGTTAGCTAGCCCTGTAGTTCTCGCTGATCATTCGCCTATTAGAGATTGAGTTTCCACCTATGACGTTAGGTAATGTTTTCGTAAAAATACTAATGTCTGATGAGAACCCACTGAAGT